CCCCCCCCCCCTCCCCTAGAAATTCTGGATGGTGGAACGAAACCTTCGTCGAGGATATTTCTCTCTTTTAATGTAGAGGCCCAGGAACGCTGAGCAAGATATATGGCAAGATTCTGAAAGCGAAGATCGAGGAGGAATGGAAAGAACATGAAGCGGAGGAGCAAGCCGGTTTCAGAGCAGGGAGATCAACGATCGATCATTTATTTATCATCACCCAAGTGATCGAAAAGAAAATGATGGTGGGCCAGGGGTTGCATTTGGTGTTTGTGGACCTGCAGAAAGCCTACGATAGTGTGCCGTTAGTGAAACTTTAGGAAGCCTTGAACAAAAGTGGTTTTAGTGGGGGGTTGGTGAATGCTATTAAGGAATTTTATAATGGGACGTATGCTAGGATTAAATCACACGGGGGCTTATCCCCCGGATTTTTAAGGGATTAAAACAAGAGTGTTGCCTGTCGCCAACCTTGTTTAAAATTTATCTGGAAACCGCATTGAAAGAATGGAAGAGGAAATGTGCAAATATGGGCGCGTCCCGCTGAAGATGGTGGCACACTCTATACTCTTTGCTTTGCTGATGATCAAGTGGTGGTAGCGCAAGACGAAGAAGATGCAGATTATATGACACGCAAGTTAGTGGAGGAATATCGATTATGGGGCCTTGATGTTAGTGTCTCCAAAACTGAAAAATTGGTTATTGGTGGTAATCAGCAAGGTATAGAGTTGGAGGATGGCCGGTGCATCAACGGATGTGAAGAGTATAAATACCTTGGAGTATGACTGACCCAAGATGGGAAGTTTGATCGGGCCATCAGAGAACGTAATTTGCAAGGATGAAAAGCCATCGCGATGTTAAACGGGGTTCTCTGGGATCAGAGAATCTCGAAGGAAAATAAACGGAGAATTTACAGCGCCATCGTGAAGAGCACAATTACGTACGGGAGTGAGGTCTGGCAATTGAAGAAAAGATCTGAGGATATCTTACGGGCAACCGAAATGGACTTTTGGCGAAGGTCTGCAGGGATCTCGCGGAGAGAGCGCGTTCGTAATGAACGAGTGCGTGAGATAATGGGAGTTGAGAAAGATATTGTGCACGATATCAAAACCAGGCAGCTGGTTTGGTATGGACACGTGCAGAGAATGGCAGATAGTCGGTTGCCCAGAAAGGTATCTGATTGGGTTCCTCCCGGAAGAAGGCGGCGTGGGCGTCCAGTAAAAGGTTGGCGGGAGGGAGTGGAGGGGGAGATCAGACGGTGTAATCTGCCCGATGATTTGTGGGAGGATCGATTCCGATGGCGATTTGGAGTCGCAGAGCGCTCTAGTGCGCTGAGTTAGCGGCTTGATATGTATGTAACGTAGAGGTTTGAATGAAAACGCACATCTGTATGTATGTATGAGCCGCTTTTACAGCGCGCTAGGGCGCTCTGCGACGCCTATTCTCCACAGGAATCTGTCATGGTAGAGATCCTCCGGAAGCTGGCATATCTCCATCTCTTCATGGATGCCCTCTACCCACCGTTTGGCTGGACGCCCTCTCCGTCGCCTACCTGGGGGGACCCACTCCAACACCTTCTTCGGCAACCTGGTATCAGCCATTCTCTGCACATGCCCATACCATACCAATTGCTTGGTCATGATATCGTGCACAATCGTCCCCTCAACGCCCATTATCTCTCGGACACGTTCATTCCTGACACGTTCTCTCCTCGAGATTCCAGCCGATCGTCGCCAGAACTCCATCTCGGTCGCCTTGAGCATTTCTTGGGTCCGCTTCTTCAACTGCCACACTTCACTGCCATAGGTGATAATAGGCTTGACAACCGAGTTATAAATCCTCTTCTTGTTGTCTTTGGAAATCCTTTGGTACACACATCTGTTCTCGCCTAATTTAAGCGATTATTACTTGTGATTTTTGAAGTGCGGAATTTCAGATCGAAGATCGAAAACGAAACTTAAGCGGAAGTCGAAATTCTAGGGACAATAGTGTAACTAGGTCGTTTGCAATGGCGGGCCTGGCCCCCTACCTTACCCTACATACGAGGGAGTCTGGGGCTCTGGGAGTACTGAAGACCTCTTAACACAGAGGGGGGTTCGAGGGGCCTACCCCGGAAAATTTTTGAAAATTTAAATCTATTTAGACGCATTTTGAGGCCTCCGTGACGCAGATTTTCCATCAATTTCTGCAGAAAATTACATTTTTTTTTTCACTTACGGTAAAAAATATTTTCAAATTGTCGAATTCAATAGATCCGAATTTTTCTCGAAATTTTAACTCTATTTAGACGCACTTTCTGGCTTCCTTGACAAAGATTTTCCATCCATTTTTTCAGAAAATTACGTTTTTTTGCATTTTCAGCACGAAAATAAAATAATTTCAAATTCTTGCATTCAATAGATACAGATATTTGTGAAAATTTCAAGTCTAGTTGGACGCATTTTGATACTTCCGTGATGAAAATTTTAGAGAATTTCAACTGAATAAGCACGATGTTTTTATTTAAGACCTCACATTAAGATAGATAATCCTGCTCGACCAAGGTATTTTCCCACAATCCAGAATATTTAGAGGGAGGGGGGACAGATGATACTATTTTAAATTCTAGAGGGGGTCAGACCTCCTGGCCTCCCTTCGAACGCCAATGTAAGGGGGAGGTCAAAATGTAGGAAAAATCCCGGGGGGCACAATGTAGGAAAAAGTCTGGGGGAAGTCAAAATCACCAGAGAGGGGCGGCCAAAAACCAGAAATTCGGAGGGGGCGGGGGTCAAAATCCAGGGATATCCAAAGCTATGGGGGGAATACGAATCGAGGAATATATCCGGAGAGGGAGTCAATACTTAGGAGACAATGGAAATTGAGGCACTGGATGCGAAAAGGGCACTTCTTTATGCAGTGTTTCAGAATCTCTGTTGCCCATTAATCCCGTGGAGAAGAATTTAATGGGTGATTTTTCCAGTATTCTTTCAGTAGAAAATTGTAAAATCATGAGGAATATTCAGTAAAATTCTTAGTGAAATGGATGTATTCACTTTCCTTACCACGAATGAAATATCAGAGGAGACTCTGAAACACTGAAACCGAGAAGTGCCCTTTTCGCATCCAGTGCCTCAATTCTAGGGGCGAGGTGAAAATGTAGGAGAAATAGGGGGGAGTGGCCATAATTAGGGAAAAAATCCGGAGAAAGCGTGCACTCCTGAAAGGGGAAGGTCACGAACCACAGATCTATGGGAGGGGGAGGAAAATGAAAATTACATGTAATGAAAGCCCTTTGTATGGGCTTTCCAACGGTATATTGGTTTTTCCGAGGAAACGATTCTATCGCGAGATACATGCCTTCAATATTCACTGCAGCGAGGTTGTTAGGTATCCTGCGCGGCTTGGAAAGCCCATACAAAGGGCTTTCATTACATGTAATTTTCATTTTCCTATAAGCGTGCGCAGTACTGATTTTTTGGGGTGCGAATGACGGCGGACCTCAAAAAGTACGCCAAGTCGGACTTTAAAGGCCTGTATTTCGCGATAGAATCGTTTCCTCGGAAAACCCGATATACCGTTGAAAAGCTCACTGAAAGAGCTTTTATTACATATGAGTTTCGTTTTTCTGCCAGCGTTCGCAATACTAATTTTTTGAGGTGCGAATGACGCGGGACCTCCAAAAAGTACGCCAAGTCGGACTTTGAAGGCCTGTATCTCGCGATAGAATCATTTCCCCGGAAAAACCGATACACCGTTGGAAAGCTCACATTAAGGGCTTTAATTACGCGTGTTTTTTATTTTCCTACGTGGTGTCCCAATATTGACTTTTTTAGGTTAACCGCATTTTTGCACCTTGAAAAAATCGAAAAATTGCCGATTTTTGGGTAAATTTGGCAACAATGGATAAAAATTATATACGAAATGATAGCTCTTTTTATGTTCTATCAACTCAAACAAACCGCACCCTCGTATCTTTAATTGCTCAAAAGTTATGGGGTTTAACATGTTTCAACTTTAAAAAATGGCAACGTCGCACTCGGGGGGCTGGGCACTAAACCAACCCCGGATTTGGAGGCCGGAAGTGCCCCTCTATCACTGGTTTGAATTTCGTTAACTTTTGAAATGGGCGATTTTGGGGGGTCCGTGCATAGAGTCCTTTCATTTGACACAGAAGTTACAAACATTGCACAATCTTAGCAGCATCGCAAGCCATACGCCTCTTACCAAAAAAATTTTCAACTTCTTCACTAAAAAATATTTTCAATGTGTGTAAAAGCTAAGCATACCACAAAATTGGAACTTTGGCTCGTATACAGGGTGTCTCACGAAAAACGAGCCACCTTGAATATCTGCCGAACGCGTCGGAATTTCGACAAACGGTAAAAGACGTGTTCATTTATATCGAGGGGGACACTTTTTGGCGTATTTGACATTTTCCCAAACCGCGGGAGGGGCGCGGGGCGGGGGGGGTGCCCCACCCGTAAGTCGAACTTTTCAAATGGCACCCCTACTTTTTTATTTCAGAAATCAATTCTACGCAAAAAAAACAAGCCACCCTGTCCCAACCGAATGTAATTCGGACAATTTTTCAGTGATTGACAGAGGTTGAAACATTTTTTTCATGCTCTTTTCAAAAATTTCCCACGCCCAATGGAATTGCTGTATCAAACCAAACT